ATGCCACAGCCTCAAACATGTACAAAAAACGTACACATTTCAATTTATATCTGGAAAAATCACAGTGGCCAAACACCTCTACCAACTTGCCAAGACTTGCTAAGATCTAGCAGTAACTGATATTCTGTGACCTAAAGATGCCCAGCAAAGAGTGGCTATGTGCCAGCTACCCACCGATAGCAATCACAAGAAAACCTGTCATGTTGATCTGAACATTTGCACAAGACAGATCATGAAAAGATTAAATTGTATTAAAGCTGTTTTGTAGACGAGCATAGCCAGAAAACCTGATCTGTAGAGATGGAATATTTTGTTTAATCGTTTCAATATATAAAAATGTACGGCAAATGTTTCTGAAAGAAGCTTTCATAGGAAAGACGGGTCACAAGCCTGCTAGGTAAAGCACTATATCTAAGGGGAGATAAAATGGAACCTGAGCCCCAAATAGAATGGGGCTGTCTTTGCCATCGTTTGAGAGGATCAACCTTTGTTTCTTGCTCAACAAGCAATGTGGCAACAGGTTAAAATCTATGCCTGATCAAAATTGTTTCTGCTGGGCCAATCTGCATATTATGCATCCATGCCCCATCCCTAAGCTTTGCTGTGTCCTTTACACACTTCCTGTGTTACCGCACAAAGCCATCCCTGGACTACAGAATGATTAGCTCTTATGCTGCAAAGATGTGACATAAGGGAGAGCAGACTAAACTTGGTCTGCAAAAAAGCTGTGCACTGTCAGCACACAACAGGGCTTAATAGTTGAGTGCATTTCTAACAATTCAACAGGTATTTGTCTGCACTTGCAGGATCTTTAAAGGGATAACACATAGGCTGGGTTCACACTTGGGCGTTCGTAATATGCAGTCAACGAAACGCGCGACAAACTCTGTATCCTAATGGATACGCACGGAAAATACGCCCCAAAGAAGCTCCTGTACTTCTTTGGGCGTTTTTCAGCGCGTTCCTACGCGCTGAAATACGCCAGGGTGGGAACCATGCCCATAGGAAATAATGGGATTTCATTTGCTGGGCGTTTTACAGCGCGTCGATCAGCGCTGTAAAACGCCCAGGTGTGAACCAGGCCTTAAGAAAATGTGTACGAGTTAGGCTGGGTTCACACCTAGACGTATCGAATATGCGCATTTGTCGACTCGCGGTAAAAAAACGCGCGACAATCGCGCGTTTCCGAGGGCTACCTGGCTGTATCCCAATGGATACGCGTGGCAAATAAGCCCCAAAGAAGCTCCTGTACTTCTTTGGGCGTAGGGCGTTTTGCAGCGCATTCCTACGCGCTGTAAAACGCCCAGGTGGGAACCATGCTCATAGGCAATCATTGCTTTTCACATGTTGAGCGTTTTACAGAGCATAGGAACGCGCTGTAAAACGTCCAGGTGTGAACCAGGCCTTACAGAGACGTACTGCATATGTGTTTGTTTTTTTTATGATTCTGGGACAGGTTTTAACACTACACAAACTGTATTGTAGGACAATACTGAAAGGGATGCACTGCTAGAATCAAACAGGTTAATGTTTAATAGTTGCAACACGCTGAACTGGCATGCCTTATTTCCATTCTATTAAATGCAATGTCCTTTTATAAACAGAGCAAGGTTTGGCACTTCTGAAAACAACACTAATCTGGAAATCAATGAGGTCTCTACTGCCTGGGATACAACGGAGGGAGAATTAGCAATCTCTTATTGACCCATTCTAGAGATGGCAAAGGCCAGGATTTGGTCTGAGGGGGATGGAGAGACTGTGATTGGTGGAATACAGATTCCAAATATTGCAATCACTAAAAAGGGGCAATGCAAAGCAGCCAAAGACCAAAAAGTGACAGCTTACATTGCATCTAATGTTGGGGCATACATGGGTAGTGAAAGTTATACAGTATGTAGCTTGCCTTTGCTGACCTGTTTTTTCTGAAAATGCTAACAGCCAGGCTGTATCTGCCTTGCCTGCAAAACGTTATGAGCCTGAAGTCAGAAGTGTCTAATCTATGCATTTGTTCTGGTTCAGTGACCCAAAGCATTAAAGTCACTGAACCAGCATGACAGCCATAGAACTATATATCAAGGAACATAGATCTCTCAGCACATACCCTTCAAAATATAGCTTGTAGGATATATTTGTATCTTAGGGGTGTATATTATTAGGTTAATCAGAGATTTTTTTTTAAAAAGGGTAATATAAGATAGAAATTACAAGTAGAAGGGGGAGTGGGGTAAAATCTTCCAGTGACCCCCATAGAGATTTCATACTAAAATTTCCAGCACACAATGGGGGAGGGTTGGAACCTCTGTTGGGTTTCTATTGCCGACTGTGAGTCCACTAAGAGCATTCCTCTTACCTGCTGTCCCAGGGACAGTGGTTTTAATCCTGAGCTCCACTGACCAAACTCATACTTGTGCAATACATGTTAAAGCACAACAGGCAGTGTATGCGCCATGTTTAACAGCATAGGCAAGGGCTCATTTTGGTCCATGTATACACTGGGGTTTTAGAAAATGAATGGGCCTGTCCAACAGAAAGCATAAAAAATATGCAAACATGGACAAGTGTGAATGGACTCCAAGTCCTGTGTTTGATACAGCTCAGTGTTGCGCTGCACAACTCCATGCTTGGAAACAGAGCGTATGCAATGGCCAAGGGGGCTCCAAGAAAGTTGGCAGGGATCCTCACTGGTGGTTGCTGGCCATGTGATTTTTGCAGAGAACAAACAGCATGGAAAACGAATGTACTGACGTTTTTGGGGTAAACAATTACAAAGCATGTACAAGACAAGTCCTAGTCATGATTAGGCCTCATATAATGAACAGATTTCAAAGCATTTTAGCAAATTTAACAGTGTTATTTTCTAAAGGGTGAAGAGTTTGGAGAAGGAAGGCAGGAGAAGTGAACAAGCTAGGACAACATAGCTGAACAGGAAAGTGAGCTGAATTGGAGAATGTTTCCAAATTCTCAGCAACATGCAACATCTTCTGTGCAAGTCCTGCTTTGCTAAAGAATACATGAAGCAGATACCCAGACAGATTCTGGTATTGTAATAGCTGCATCTAAAAAATGTACTGTGTAAAATAATTTACATTTCTTTTTTATAAATAGATTACCAAGACCTCACTTATAATGTCCACTAAATCTAAATATGAAAGTTGCAGCATGAGGTATTACATTATGCATATTAGGCAGTGCTTCTACAGGGGTGTGGAATTCCTATCGCCCGACGCATGCAGTTTCGGGCGCCAGGCGAGTAGTTTTAAAGTATATTCAGCCCGGCTCCGGACAAGCAGAGCTGAATGTACATTGTGGAGCCGCCGCCGCTCGTTTAATACAAGTGGTCTGATCAGACCACTTGTATTAGTTTGAGCAGCGGCGATAGTTTCTGTCCGCACCCCCTGCCGTAGTTTTCGGGGTCGCCCGCTCTCCCAGGAGACCCCGAAAACTAAGGCACACTGGCTCAGCCTCGCTGTGTGTTCTCTGAGACCATGGCGCTGTAATCACAGCGCCACCTGTCTCGGCTGTCAGCAACTACACAGAACAGCTGTTCTGTGTTGGAGGGCAGGTTCCATAAAGAGAACCTGCCACCTCCAAACTATCACATAAGGGATTTTAATCTCCTATGTAATAGGAAGAACATTAAGGGGAAAAAGTAAAGAAATAAAAAGTTAAAGAAAATTTAAAAAAATAAAATATATAAAGATTTAAAAAATGAAAAAGTAAAAAATAAAAATGAAACCCTGCTGCCCCGCCATCTGCACGCAAATAAACTCAAGCGTAGGACATTCTGCATGTGCTTTGAGATTGCAGCTGCCATTCCATGGTGGTAGCCAGAATTCTCTTACACACACAATGTGCATTAAAGTTCATTTTCCCAGGTAATATGGAAAAATTAAAATTACCCGATGAAATCTGGCCCTGTCTCTCCCAAACCGCCACCCCCCTGGCTATACTTACCTTTCGGCAAACAATCCCTCCCCTCCGCCAGTATGGGTGTACTATCTGTCCCCCGTACTGCTGTCCAGCGCAGTCCTCCCCTAGGCATTTTGAATTTCGCTTGCAAATTGCAAGCACTCATTGGTGAACGTGGTCAGATGACTGCGCTGACCACTGAGAAGCGCTATTTAGCACAGTAAAATATGTTTTGATTAGGGGTGCACCGATACTAGTATAAGTGCCAATACAGAGTATTTGGGCAAGTACTGGTACTCACCCAAATGCTCCGATACCTTCCCCGATATTGGAACTTACGGCCAGATGAAAATTTTCTCTGACTGGCAGTGCCCTAGGGGAACATGGAGCCAGCTTCCCGTCCAATCAGGAAGCCGTGCGGCAAGTAATGCCCCGCCTCCTGGTTTTCTAATTGGCCCGGGAAGCCAGCTCCTTGCTGATTGGCTGGAAAGCTGGCTTCCTGGCCAATCAGCATCTAGCCAGTTCCCCGGTCAAATCAGGTCATTACTCGCCACCCGGCTTCCTGATTGACCGGGAAGCAGGTTTCCCGGCCAATCGCAATCAAGCAGGCCAAACAACATGGAGCCAGCTTCCGTGGCAATCAGGAACCTGGGCGGGATGTCATTACCTGCTGCCTGGTTTCCTGATTACCAGGGAAGCCTGCTCTATGTCAGCGGAAGCACCGGTATTAGTATTCAGTGTCGGCCAGATCCGAAAGCAAAAAAAAAAATCGGTACTCGTACTTGATACCGAAAAACCGGTATTGGTGCATCCTTAGTTTTGATAAAAAATATTTTTTGTATTGGGACAAGTAGATTGTCGTGAAGGACAAGTAGATTTGGCCCCCGCTTTAGCCCTTGGACAAGTAGTTTTTTTTTAAATTTCCACACCCGTTCTAGGATATTTCCTTTAAAGCATCTGAAATACTAAGAACATGGTTCAATTATACAATACAAAATAGATGAATATTTTCAGCCATTTCTACACAACAAAGCTGAGCAGCTGCGACATATTCAACCACTAAGTGATGTATTAAGGTGAAACTCTCTTACCTGCAGAGGCAGCTGGAGAAAAGAGAATCTCAGAGCCAACATTGGAGCACTGTAAAGAAAGAGAAGAAACTGATTATGTTTCCTGTTTGAAGGATGCAAATCATTTAATTTCGTAATCTTGATTAACATTTTATTGCTTTAAAAAGAGTTCTACTGACAATGGAGTAACAATTGCACATCCCATCTGATAATTGTGCTCTCTATTGTTAGAGGAGTAGATGTGGCCTCAGCAGCAGTATTACAATCAGCCTCAAGGGTGCAACATTGAGCTGTCAAACTCCAGAAAACTGATAGGAGTTGTTTTACAGCAAAGGGTGCAATTCCATGCAGATCCCTGGACACAATGCTATACACAAGACAAATAGATCCAGATGAATACAGCCATTCTGCCACAATTCCTCTGTCGTGACTGAGGGCAGCTCTTCAAATTGCCTGTCAAGCATTCTCAATGATAACATTTTAAACTAAAATAATTAGCATTTGTACTAACAAAGTGTTTTTATCAAAGATAAGCATAACAAGACAAAAAATGAGAATGAGAATAACTGCAGCACCAACAGGATAATCACTTTAAATTTGCTTTATGAATGCAGATAGCCTGACCTTGTTCTATTAATTATGATAAGCATGTGTTCAAAAGCAGCAAGACAGAACACACCAGTCAATTCAGTAGAAATGTAACCTGCACAATTTGTGTGCAAGTTAATCAGAAGATCTCATCGAGTTATTCTATCACAAAGCTCATGTTATCAAATGAAAGTCCTGTCTTGAAAGCCTGGGATGATGTCGCAGGTCCTTTTGTGCTCAGAGGAAAGAACCAAAACCATTCTGAGCTATATTATCTGGCCTTCATCACAATATTTCATTAGGTTCCAGTAGTACAAAGGTAACAGAATTCAATACCTATGGACAATTGACACTAAAAATGCATTGTAAGGCCAAAATCCCATTATCCATTTTAGACTCTTAAAATGAAAAGTCCTGTCTGTGATGGTAGGCAGAAAAGACTCTTCTGATGCGGTTTTCAATTTGTTACTAATGGCTTCTTGACTGTGGCCCAAGACCCCTTTCACACGGGCATTCCGATCAGGTAAGCCTGTCAGTTTTTCAGGTAAACCTGATCGGAAGCCCAGTGTTAGTCTATGGGCAGCCAGATCTAAATGGACGTGCATCTGTATCTGGTTAACCCCAACTCTGGAAAAACAAATCGATCAGAGTTCAGTTTCCACAGACTTGACCCGACCATGCTGGACCCTAGTCTGATGTAAGTGGACACATGTCCGTTTACATTTAATTCCCCAGAGACCAATATGGGTCAATCAGGAAAAAACTGGACGTACACGGATGTCACAATGTCCCCTGTGGATCGGAAACTGAAGATGCTAGTCTACAAAGGGCCAAAGTCTTTGTCCACCCAGTATCTCCTACAGCATGGACAACACCGCAGTTACCAATAAAGGGAGCCCTGACTTGACAGGGGAAAGTGGATGGGCCCTAGGTTCAGGGACACACTCCAGAAATCAACTTGAGGCAGTAGTAACAAAGCAAAAACATTAAAAGATTGGATGCACATATGTTTTTATGCCTAATACTGAAATAGCCTTCACCCCAAGGTACCTAAAGTTATGCAGGGCTTATACTTTTGAAAAGTTTAAAATGGCCAACAGGTCTACTGTAAGGAAACCAGGTTTAAACATCTATCTGAACACCTAATATCACTGCATCTATAAAATCATCAGCTATAATTTCTATGTAACAGGCGACCTAGCTAATATTCTTAAATGGTGGAACGTGAGAGTATACAGATGATGTGTGTGAAAGGGGGGGGAAGGAGGGGGAGGGTTGGTAGAGGGAGGGAGAGAGGGAGGGGTGTAGAGAGAGAGAGAGAGAGAGAGAGAGAGAGAGAGAGAGAGAGAGAGAGAGTGGGAAAATTGCATCACACCTTATAGCTATGGCTCACTGTATACTGAGAACACCGCAGCCAGGACGGATCACGACAATGGTCAAGACCCACCCAGCTACGTGAATGACAGCTGGATCTGCCTATCTAGAGGCAGAGCCAGCTGTGCCCGCCCCCTCCCCATCCTTTCCTCGAGTCAGTGCTAGATAATCGGAGCAGGCAATCCCTGCGTGGAGCGGTGACTGACAAGTCACGGCTCTCTGCCAAGAGATGAATGTGAAGTGAGCGAGCGATGGTACGCAGTCGCTCACTTCCCGATCTATTGAGCCTTAGTGCGACAATTTCATTGTCACACATCGGCTCGAACAATGAGGGTGAGTGATTTTCACTCACCTCATAGTTCTCCTTTAGGCCTTTCCCACCATAGGCAAAGCAAAGGGCCCACAAGCAAGCCATACTAATCAATGGTTGGCACTTACTGGGTCCCAGCCTTATGAGACAGGACTGATCAAATCACCAACAGAGGTAGAAGAGAGAGTCCCACGTTCCCCATACCCAACTGTAACAGGAAATGTCTTCACTCCTGGAGGCTGAAAAGGAGAAGGGAGCAAAGGAAAAAGGCAACTATGTACTGCTGGGGAACTAGGATTTCAATTGCATTTCCACCGTTGCTGCTTATGTGGGATAACACCTACTTCAAATTTAGCAACGATAAATAGAATAAATGGCCTAGAACTAAAGCCGCTGGCACTAGCATCAATAAGCAATAACCAATAAAAGGTGTAATATAAAAAGGAGAAAGTTCCACACTTATTCCTATACCCTAAGCCAATATTAGTGTATCTCTGAAATCATCTACTACTGATTAGTGATTGATATAAATGACTATAAAAAATGGTGAGTAGTAATATGATTTTTATATTTTTTAACACATTCACATAGCATAACTTAAAAAATCTGGCCGCCCCCCTCCCCCGCCTTTCTTTGTAATGTTAAGGAGGCTGTCGGAAGTTATATCTACCATAATTAATGTGCTGGCCGATCTCATCAGTTTTAAACTAGATTTGAACACTGTCTGCCCTAACAAAGGGCTAAAGATCTCAGGGCTTGGGTAGTACATTCGATGTTATTGCACTTTCCCTCATTCTGTCCCAGGTTTGTCCCTCCGCTACATTGCAATTGTTCAGCATAGCTTTCGGTCTGCCAAAGGGCTGGTCCAAAGAAACCACTAGAATAGGTAAGATTTTTTTTTCATGCTTTTTAGATATAGTGTGATTAGGTACTCAAAGTGTGACAGCAAGTGGAAAAACAAAATAATTCTGTTTTGCTCTGCATGTACAGGTTTGGTTTAAAGGCAGACAGACACGCGTGAATTGCATGAAACAATGTTACAGTAGGAAAATAAAATGCGAAACTATGTTCCACCTGGCACTTTTCTAGTATATTTGAAAACAAAGAATCCAATTGGATGCATACTGTAACACAGACAATATCGAACACTTCAGATCTGTGAGCCCTTAGAACAATCCAATTGTTATGCTCGGCCTAGCACACATTTCTTCATCTCTCCCTGGTGGCTACGTTAAGTTGCACTTCAGGGCTTGCTTTCCATCAGCTGTAGTAAGCAAACACAGGCACCAAGCAAGCTCCAGAAAGGCCTTGGCATAGTGTAAGAAACTTCCAATTACAGTCTTGGCCAGACCACAAGGTTTATCAGAACAGACATGGAATCTGGGCTAGAGTGTGGGAGGAAGAGTCCAAAACTCAATACGCAATACAATTGTCAATTATATAGCACTATTATCTACAGGAGGAAAGACAACAGGAAGTACAAAGACTGACCTAGGCCCCATGCACATGGCAATGAAAATACATGTGTTCAGGTGCATCTGGAACGCATTTCTAAACTCACCTGGGAGGCATGCAATGCTTTGCTGTGGCTGAATGCACACCTAAACATTTAGCAGGATCTATGTGCATTCAGTCTAACTGCATTTACACAAACAAGAATTATCTTGTCCTGGGAACGTTTAGGGCCCATCCACACAATTGCACACCATGCAGTACCATGTGCTGGTGTGTTGCCATTCATTTTAATGGCACCCCAATAAGCATGTGTGCAGCACAACACACAGTACCAAGACTGTGGCAAAAGGTAACTGGAAGTTTACACTATGCCAAGGGCTTACTGGCACTTGCTTGGTGCCTGTGTTTTCCTACTACAGCCGATGGTGAAAAAAAGTAATGCATGCACAACTTTTTTCACCGCAACACTCAGCCACCGGGAGGGAGGTAGGGGTGCCATTCAAATGAATGGCAACACAAGGCACCTAACACATGGTACTGCAATCAAATTGCGGTGCACAATAGCATCCACTAAATGCATGTCTACCATCTATTTAGCATGCTAGGGTGTGAACGGGCCCTTAGCCTGATTTTAAGTGGCTAGACGCAGGAAACAAATGATCTGAGAAGCATAAAAAAGTTGTTTATACAACTGGCAGCCAGGCAACTTGTATTTTCAATAAGAAGTCTGCAAAAAAAATACCTGTAAAACAGAAAATGAAATATTCCTATCTGTACAGCTAGAAACCCTGCTGTCAAAGATATCCATAACTAAATGTCCTTGTCGTACAGCCAGAAAACGTAAAATAAAAAGCCCTACCAGGGCATTTAAAAATGGAAATTCTTATGCGGAGCACACCTTTTATATCATACCGAGAGAAAATACATTTGTTATAAATTGTAACTCTTCACAGGATGAAGAATCACTATCAGGTATCAGTCAACTGCTCTTCAAACAATGAGATGTTTGCCACAATTGAATTTATCTGGGTAACATCCAGAACTGCCATATCTGTAGGTCACACCAAAAGGCAGAGAGTCTTACCAGTTCCTAAAGCTAACTGGGACCCAGTGAGCTACCATAGCAGTAAAACATGCAAACACAATGATCAGCCAGCAGTGCAATAAACAGGAACATTCTTCTTGGCAGAATGTTTAAGTTCAAGTAATTGGAGAGGCAGACATTGTCAGCCCTACTTATCTCAAGGTGGATAGAGGGCAGTTTTCTAAACTGCTGGACACATGGCTCCCCAACAGTGGCCCAGCTATGAGGTAAGATTAGCAGAACTGAATGTATTATCCCT